CCTTGACACAAAGTTCGTCTCTGCCGACCCGCCCCTGACGACACCTCCGTCTGAGCCTGCGCCCGAACTTGGATCGCTCACAACATTGACCCCGTTGCGCGGGCATGTCTCCGCAATCCACGCATCGTCATTCTTCCATCTATTCGACGAGGCACAACAGGCGCATCTCGCGCGCGTGATGGCTGGATTGCTCTCCCCTCTCCCTGGCTCTATCATCTTTGGCGGGCACAGCGGGTGCCTGAAGAAGGGCCGCCGAGGGGATCAGGGTAAATCCGACGTACGTTGGCCGGACATGTTTGGACATTCTGTAGAAAGCTGGATTGAGCTGTGGGATGGCGAGGTCTTTCCAAAGGGCACGGTCCAAGTAGACGCAAAGATTGTGGATATAGGGACTAGGGATGGCCAGAGTTTTTGGTGGCTTATCTGGTCAGTGAAGAGGTTGTAGAGACTTCATGTCGATAGCTTTGTGGTGAACATGGCAGTGTAGAATTGTACCGGATGGAAAATGGGATTCTGTAGAATTCGACTCAAGTTAGATAGTCAGACCCTCGATCCACCCTAAAAGGAAACCTGGGGTCACGTCACGCCCGTCTCCCGCGGGACGCGTCTTGCATGAAATCCGTCTCTCCTTTAACTTTAAGCGCGTAATACCTGCTACAATATCATTGTGCTGCCGCTGTAATACATCTCCGTGCTACTCATTGGCGCTTTGCCTTCGCTCAGCTTGCTGAGGACGAGGATGAGTCCGAAGCTATGAGTTCCCGCGGCCGCTGCACAGGATAGTTCACCTTTCACCGTGACAATCCCGGTCGCAGACAGCGACAAGAATCTCTTTCAATTTCCTGACTGGGATGACCAAGATCATTCCGCGTACGAACCATCTGTGGATATCTTGCACGAGTGTCGCAGTATTTGAAGAGAAGGCCTTCGCCATTATACGGTTCATGAGAAGTGACCCAGCTCTCGCGTTTTTCCTTGCGGCAATTCCTTGACACAATCTCCTGGCAGCATCAGAAAATGCACTCGTCTGGCGGCGCTCTTTCAAGACGTTCAATGCTTCTTGAAATCTGGTAGGCGCAGGGGGGCCTACACGACGACGGCTTGAGCAACTTGGTGATCGATTGTGCGACCGAAGTATGCGCTCTGGAGTTTATCTGGCTATGTAACTGATAAAGCATCCAACGGCCCATGGCGCGCCGAGGCAGAGGGCCCTCGCATGTCTGCAGACAGTCATTTGATCTGACAGCTCACCGCATGCTACAAGTGGACAACGTCAAATCTACAGGAGCTGTCGAAGGATCTAATTTCCAAGGAGGAGACATGATAAGGACCACATCGCGTGATCCAGGCGATGTCATCAATTCACGCATGCTGGCTTTGGCATATTCACTATTTGACAGGGCGTGCGAACCAGTGACCTCCACACTACTCAATCTACGAAGCCGACTCACATATCTACAGGCCCTCGAGGACAATAAAAAGAACAAAAACAAAACTCATCCAGAGGACCAGACCCAGTTTTCTGAGCACATTGTTGCTCTGTGTCTTGCGCATATTTTGACAGCTCATGTCCAGCCACTTTTACACCTTGGTCGAGACATCCCTTCATTTCACGAACCTGTCCAATACTACCACAGTGCACAGAGAAGCACTGACACTGGACCAAGGACAAGGATTGATACGGGGCGCCATGGTCGTGATGCAACTCCAATTTTTGGAAGTTTTGTGTCTCTCACGTGAATTCTTCAACTAAGTTAGGATGTTTGCGCTTGGGAATCGGTTGACAATAATGCGCAATCATACCGCTCAGGATCAGTGAATCGTTGATCAGCATTCCGGCGCTGTGGCGGTGATCTGGCCAGGGATTTCAGCCGACTTACACCCCTTCTATTATACTGATAGACTAATATATGTACCATTATAATCCTTCTTTCCCATAAAGTTCTTTGAGAACCCTTTTAATTTTATGTTGCACAAGCACACCTGAGGCGGGATGGCCTAAAACTGGGAATTCCTCGCATGACATCCCCTCCCGGGCCATCTAAGTCAAAGGACCCCCAGGAATACAGTAGGATAGGAAAAAAAACATAAAACATATGTAAGACTCGGAGGAAGCTTTATGTACAGTATGAAGCTCATCATAACTTGACAGTTGCTGTACATTAGAAGTTAGCACACATTCTGCATTATAAAATGAGTACCTATGTCCAAATTTTTGGGCCACTTTTCTGCTGTTAACTATAAATTGATATGATCCTACATCTTGTCCTTTAATATATGAGGACTCGGCGTGTAGGCAACCGTTCTGAGTCACATGACTTCTATCCATCAATCAATGTTGTAAGTTGTCAACTTGTATCTTGTGGGCGCTTGAGATATCGACTAGCTATATAAAATAGCTCTGAGTAAGGTCGGTATGCGTTCCGCAGCCTTGGACTGAACAACCACCTACAGCCAATTCATTCATGGAGGGCATTCAAAACATTGCCGTCAAAAGAGAAAAGGACTCGAAACTTCTAGGGGAATCTAAACTCGATGAGAGTTTGTACCTTCTGAAGGAGGACGAGGCCGCGTTCTTCAAGTCGCAGACGGGAATACAGGATGATGAGGCCTTGAAGCAGCACATCATTAGTGTGCAGACTGAAGCATATAAAGTTAGTACTAATGGATTCTCATACTCACTCACAATCGAACGTTTCTATCTGCAGATCTATCCGTATCCCTGTATCCGGGTGTTTGCATTCACTTCGTACGTCATCGTCACTTCCCAGTGTCGCATACACAAATACTGACGGAAGCGCCCGGTGTTAGTCTGACGATTTCAAGGCTACCCGGGTATAGCCAGCTTTTGAAGTTAGGAAAGGAGCGAGAGGGCGCTATTTTCCTTGATATTGGCTGCTGCTGTGCGTGCACTTTCCCTAGCCCTGTACATAAATCATGATACTGTTTCGTCATAGTTGGAAACGACATACACAAAGCTGTCGCGGATGGCTTCCCCGCCCACAACGCAATCGGGTCAGACCTCCAAGCCGAATTCTGGGACCTCGGCCACAAGCTGTTCAACTCAACGCCCACATCCTTCCCGGCGCATTTCATCCCAGGGGACGCTCTTGACACAAAGTTCGTCTCTGCAGACCCGCCCCTGACAACACCGCCATCTGAGCCTGCGCCCGAACTTGGATCGCTCACAACATTGACCCCGTTGCGCGGGCATGTCTCCGCAATCCACGCATCGTCATTCTTCCATCTATTCGACGAGGCACAGCAAGCGTATCTCGCACGCGTGATGGCTGGATTGCTCTCCCCTCTCCCTGGCTCTATCATCTTTGGCACGCACAGTGGGTGTCTGAAAAAGGGCCGACAAGGTGATCAGGGCAAACCCGACGTACCCTGGGCGGACATATTCGGCCATTCCGTAGAAAGCTGGATTGAGCTGTGGGATGGCGAGGTCTTTCCAAAGGGCACGGTCCAAGTAGATGCAAAGCTTGTGGATATAACAGCTGAGAATGGCATACGTTTACAGTTCCTTCAGTGGTCAGTGACGAGGTTGTAGAGACGTCTGGAAGATAGCTTTACTGTGAATACGGTAGTGTAGAATCTGTAAGTAGGATATTGCAGAAGCGAGAGAAAGTGTTATGATGACTTTTGCCGTGGGCTCGTTCTCAGCCGTGCACCGTCAGATTATGTAGTGTCACTGCGTACTGTTCGTTTTTCGCCTTTCCTTTTCTAGATGCCGCTGACGAAAATAGAAGGGCGTCTACCGGCCACCGTAATAGGTCTATCAAAGCGAGTCGTGCTGCCGCCGCCCTGGTACTATTCCCGTTACAGTACTGGCAATGCCAGCGGTACATGAAAATGCGCACCAATCCTACGATTATTATAGGTCGAATTCTTTGGACTCAGAGGTTCCTCTATGGATTGCTGCACCTACCTGCATACATATTTGGGATAATGAGGTTCAATATCCTTTTCTTTGAGCTCTTCTACATGTTAACTCTCTGTTGTGAAGATGTGATGTATATGATCCGAACGCCTCTTGTGCGATTGGTACATAGCATTATTGTGCATAGGGATCAAAAAACCTCTTGCATGAGCGGTCCTCCTTTCATTCGCTGTCTCACTTCTGGTCTCTTTATCCCGTGTATCCCGGATATCACACCTTCGCTGATGGTTTAATCATTTTTAAATATACTAGATTCCACCGCCCTGAAGAAGACGTGGCATGAAGGACGATGAAGCTTGTCCACAGTCTTGACGTAGTATCTCACGTAGACCCCTGTGATAAGAGCTTATATGATCTCGTAAAGGATGAGGCTGCGTTCTTCAGGTCAACTACTGAGACTCATGATGACGAGGAGCTCAAGCGGCATATTCTCCGTGTGCAAGTCAAAGCCTACGAGGTACGCTGACCTTATATGCAACGTAGGACGGTTTTAATGGACGTGTTTATGTTGCGAGGCAGTCCGGGAAAGGACAAGCCGAGAGCATGTGATGTGTGGCTGAACGTCAGCCACACAACGTTACGCATATTTTCATACGAAGTAAATCCTTTCGTATATATTCTAGACATTACGAGTCTAGAAAATAATAGCCATTCTCGCTCTTTGCTTCTGATCATCACTCGCAGCAACAGTTTACACTGCAGGTCTGTCCTTATCCGTGTATCCGCTTATTCTCTGTCACTTTGTATGTCGGCACCTTCCAGTACAAGCCTACATCGGCTTATTAGATTTCTTTTTTTGGCAACAGTCGAAATTTTCAGTACTCGGATATGACCAGCTTTTGAGATTAGGCGGAGAGCGCACGAGTCCTATCTTCCTCGACGCTGAGTGCTTCCGTACGCTCTTTTCCTATGTTTTGACCCACGTCTCACGGTAGCTATCTGCTCTCAGTCGGAGTCGACGGACACAAAACTGAGACGGATTTCCCGTCCAGAACGCAACTGGATCTGATCTCCACGCACCATTCTGGGACCTTGGCCATTTGAAGTTGTTCAGGTCAACACCAACACATTGTTCGGCGCATTTTTTCCCGAGAGATGCTTTGGGCGCATTCCGCAGATCCGCTTGAAGCTTCTTCGTCCGCTCCTCCGCTCGGGTCATTGAGCTCTTTGATTCCGCAGCGCGCGCATATCCCTGCTATTCATATATCGGCGTTCTTCCACCTCTTCAGCGAGACGCAGCAGGCACACCTGGCGCGTGCGATGGCCGTGCTGCTCTCGGCCCTTCCTGGCTCCGTAATTTTTGGCTCACACTATTGGTCGGTCGCAAGGCTGTAAGTAGTAGGTAGAATCAAACAATATGCACTAGAAGATGCTGGATTGAGACGAGTGGATCTTAGTTGATTCCGTGACTATCATCTACTTTTCTGCGAGTAGCCCTGCAGTGGTACGGTACTACCCCCATTATCAACAATACAAACCCATTTGGAGTGTGTCATTTTCTGCGAAACTCAACTTGTTCATCAATTTTAAATATGCATCGAGCCCTCTTCCCCTGGCACCGTTTGTACAAGTAGTCGGAGCACGACTCGAGCTACGTCACGATGGGATCTTCACTCTTCACGCATTCGGATTTCATACTCTATCACCATAGCGTCCGTTTCTGGTACAGTAATCGCTCACAACCAAACACGAACTTATCTCAGACTTATTCGATGATCTTGAATACACAATTACTGCCGGATGATGACTTCCGCTTTCTCCTGCACACCGCTCTCCCAATCATCCCAACATACTGCCAGGACTTTGGAGTGTCTGGCGTACGCTTCTCTCGTGTCGCTTCCTTTCCGCTTTACTTCCACCCCAACTCTGTTCAATGCCTCCACATCCGGGAGAATCCTGCTGAACCTCAGCACACCCTCCTCCTGGAATCCCAATTTTTTCGCAAGGCCGACCGACGGTCCGTTGTTTGGGTGGGCGATCCAGGCAACACGGCGGAAGCCAAGGCCGGGCGGCGACGCTGTGGGCATGTTGAGGCAGTACTGGAGTAGCAGGGATACGCTAGTGCGCGCAACGTGCGATCGCTGGAATGCTGGGAGGATCATCACGTAGCCGATCTCGGTGCAGAGGTATTGATGGACAGTGTTGACCAGGCTCATCATGCCTGCGAAGCTGCCTTCTCCCCCGTCTCCGCTTTCGCCTTCCTGTGCTGCTCGCGTTTTGTCGTACACGGCGAACATGCACCAGTGTGGCAACGTGCGGATACTCTCTACGAAAGCAAGGAACTCGGGGAACGTACGCGGCGCTATGGGATAGTACTGGAAGAGCTCGCCCAGCTGCGGTAGTGCACTCTCCCAGAGAGGTTTGGCATGCAGCCTCGGAACGAAGGGCATAAGTCGAACTTTGTCGGAAGAGAGTGATTCGAGGTGGATTGGATACGCGAAGTTGATGTCGTATGGTTCTGTGGAAGAGAGGACCTTGTCAGGATCAGGGAGGGCGGAAGGTGGGGGTGGTGTGAAGTTGTTAACATATGCTGTAGACATGGTGGGGGAACAGTGCTAAAGAGCGATGGGACGTCTAGAAGATGTCGAACGGTGAGTGCTCAATTTATGGCCAGTCTCGCTCTACCGCCCGACAGCTTGACCGTGACTCCGCGTGATACAGCTCCAGTTGAGTCAATCTTAAGCGGGACGCTCATGTAGGTCCCCCGTGGACAAGGAATCGCGTTCACTGGCAGATACGTACAATTTCAGCAGGTTCCAGTAGCCCTGCATGTTCGGAAGCCCGACGGAGGTGTCCACAGTAGGTAATTCAATCCTGGGGATCTACTATTGCTCACGGAAGGCACTGATCAATCATTGCCGTTGGAGTCCAGCCCAGCGCCCGGCGCTACACATGATCTATATTAGATTGCCGCTAATACTGTTTGTGCCGTCGCCGTTCCGCGGCGGGGATGCGAGTCGGTCACCATCAATGCATCAAGCGGGGATTCCACTGCATGTGCTGGCGCGGTAGCAACTGTCCAGTACAGGGAGAGTTGTTACCAAGCTTACTTTTACTCAATGGTAACCAACGATACACTACATCATGTTTCAGCTAACTGGGTTCTCCTTGTAGATCATATACTTACACCATTGCGAGGGTTAACACTTTGTAACAGGTTACTAATTAGCAACCTAACTGAGAGAGGTCTTGAGATGGGCGTCAACAAGCTCTCTAGAGATGACAGCGTTCTACCCATCAACGCAACAGACCGCAATCGAAAGCCAGCATGGAGATCCTAGACTTCAGTCAAGCTCGTTTGCATGTTGCTGAGTCGCAATCTTCGCAATTCGTTCAACTCGGCGGTCAAGGAACGTTGATGCTTACATGCTTCATGAGAGATTCTCAGATTCATGATTGAGATCCACTGCGTTTTTCCACTTCAAAATCGCCATATTGACCTTGAGCTCACAGAAAGCTCACTGGTCGTAGCTTTAGCTGATATTGAATGGAAGCCATGCTTCACCGATTTCCAATGTTCGCGATGAAGACTACCTCCCTGCACCTGGGATCTGGTGGCCCCAGGGCATCGGGAACCTTCTTCATAATGCTTTTCGGGAAAAGCCTATCCAAGGTGGCTGGGGGATCGTTCAACATCCTGGGTTTTGGTCCACGGGCCACAGGTGCCAGCATTCCCTCTGCTCAATTTTTAGATTCTGATTCCCAATTCCAGATTTAGAAACTTCAAGTGGGATACAGACCCCTCAATTTGAATGACGGGTTGAATGGTATGGCAATTGCTTGTGAGAGGAAAACGAGCGCGAGGTGCAGGTAAATATTGGGCGGGATTGAAAAAGAAGACAAGAGTGGGACTGTGGAAGGGTGGGGCATAGATAGATTCATGATCACGGAAAGTGTTGCGACTGACATACTTCGGATCGTTGAAAAAAGTTGGGTGAGGACAACTTGAAATACTCAGGATTTGTGAGTTATCTCGACATGGGCTACGTGGAGTCTGACATGAACTAGCGTACATTGTAGTTTGGCCCGTTCCTGGGTCAGTACTTTGCTACAATGTACCCCAACAAAGTTGGCCGGCTGCTCATCAACAGTGTCTTTGACAGGTGCCACTATCGCAACGCGACCTGGATAACCAGTGCGGTGGACACGGACGCCGTTGTTGAATTGTTCTTCACGTTCTGTTGACATGCAGGCCCAGAATGTGTGGCTTATACATGCCGAGAATTGTGGAGATCGAGAATCGCATCCTCGTTTGCATGGACCACATCGCAAAGGATGCTTTCGCAGTACCTTCTGTGGGAAGGGAAGCTTGTCCTTACCCAAGAAAGCACCTAAAAACTTTGCTTTTCAAGCTACGTACACTCCAATTTCCATGCTCCCTTTGTTTGTGGGCGTGCTTTTGGTTATTGAGCATGCTAATGAAAGCATGCCCACAACGGTATCGGAGAGACTGGATAGCAGCTTTGAATGCTGCTGTGAGCGGAAGCGACCATGGCTTGCAGAGATAGAAGCATTCTCTACTATCATACGTGGAGGTACCAGGCCGGTAGACTACTCGCTGCAAGAATACAGAGTGTGGTTTACGAACCTATCTACGACGTTACGGTTTGTGGTGTCCTTCATGGGTTTTGGATATTTGCACTGTGCAGAGTGACGGATTCGATCCAAATGACGATACATAGACCCGTTTGCAGCAGAACAAACGTCCCATCCAATGTTGGCCATTTTGCCGATGTACGACAGCGTGCGTCCGCTGGCCGATGCTCGTACAGTGCATTTGAGATACGGCGGTGCGGGACCACTGGTGCAACACATTGTTCATGTACGGCCCCGTAGCTGTGTACTGCGAAATATATCCGAGAATACTTCGTGAACGGAACCCTACCAGACAAAGGATCGATCTGCGAGATTGACGAATTACCGTTCCCGGGCCTCGTCGCTGGAGACGCGGAAAGGTGTAGTACAATGTCTACAAATTATGAGCATGTACTAGATACTCTACGTCGGCTGACCAGATATGTTTCAACACTGGGATTCATATGATCTAAAATTCAAGGCTGGGTCTTCTGTATTGCAATCCATATATGCTCAAGTGCCCGGTCTTTATATGGTGAGATGGCCGAGCGGTCTAAGGCGCCAGACTAAGGTGATTACCAAATCTGGTCCGAAAGGGCGTGGGTTCGAATCCCACTCTCATCAGCGCTTTTTGACTCAAATTAATTGCACTGTTCATGCAGAATATGTTTTGAAGACGCTAAGCTACAGGTTTTGACCACAGCCGACTGGGAAGACTTTCTGACGCGAGGGTTTCGCCGATCGTCATCTTGAGGAGGAACTCTAAATTACAGCACCCGTGGGAGGCGGAGCGTAAAATCTGATCGCGTCTGGCGCATCGTCGATTTCATGATCTCGACTCGATACTCGCACCCGGGGTGCCGTCTCGTTTGCGTTCTAGCTTTCGTCGATACATTTAGCTGTATACTCCATATTACTCATTAGTTGTGACTGGGGAGCATTTGAGCTCTATCCGTGCTGTTCACATCGTCGATTCGACATTACGGTTGCGTTCTTTATTTACTCGTTCAAAATGCTGCCCAAGCACTTCTGAAATGGATAGTTTTAGATCATTACCAGAAGCACAGACATAGGAGGTCACTCCCTCAACAAGAAGTCCTGAACGATAAGGAAAATTGAACGCGTTCACGGACACGTCTCGTACCTAAAGTTACTGTATGGTTTATTTGCCTATCGATAGCGACCACTCGACAAAGGGGGGGGAATTGATAGCAGACATCAGATACGAATATCCAAAGCCTGCAAGAGCGAGGATGGATGGAAGTATCTACTCCGTTCACAGGAGACTAGGTCGATTCGGAGAACGCGTAGAAGGGGTGTCTCATGTGTTTTGCGCGGGTTGGAAATATATATCTGTTGCGCAGTATTGACATCAAATTTTCGTTTCTTCACAGCGACGGTCTATTTGAAGTCGTTTCAGTACGTTCGGTACTCAGCTCGTGAATGATAATCGATGGTTCCCTTGACATTTGTATTACATTTCTAACTGCAGAAAGGCGGAAACATACACTCAATTAGTACTGCATCTTCATGAATTTATCCACCTCGCGCCTCGAACTGTTCAGATCACCCTCGATTCAAGTTCGAGCGATACATGCTTTCGACTCTTAGACGATAGGGTAGCGCAGACTCTAACAGGGAAAAATATCAATAAACACACTAAACAAGATATGCGGGCGACAGATGCACGGGCAGTACCAGACCACTATTGTCGAGTAAAATGCAACATCTTGACCGTCGGTATCGCTGAACTCGGACGGGGAGACGAGAACCGATACGGAAAGGGCACTACCACCGATAGTGCACCGAGTCTGCTCTATACTCGCTCCCTTTAAGGTACGTTTCCAGTTGATCTCCCTTCGTAATAACTCGATAAAATCATCATACTAATTTGTATCTATGTATCAGATACAAAGATTGTTACATATGTTGTACAAACTTCTGTACAGGCAGCAGTCCAGAGCACGCGTCCGAGTATTCAATCTTCAGCCTTCTTGTGTGGTCACCTTGCAGTAATCCTAATGGCATAGAAATTGAGTATGATATAGTTGGCGAAAACTCATGTGTCGACGTACGGCGTTTCCAGCGGGATTTAGAGCCCAAATGGGAAAATTTACAGTCACGCCGCCTGCTCCAGCGATGGCAAACTACAGATGTAGGTTAGTTTCAGCACCGGTAGGTCTTGAACAAGGGACCACACCGAAAAAATGAATACGAAGATCTGAGCACCACCGTCAACAGCCGCGCCGAAGAGGTACTATACAATACGACGAATCAGATAGAGCGATTAGTCAGTGATGAGAACCTACGTTATACTTCCGGAACCATCCCGCACGATATTTACGAATATAGAAGTGCGAGGTGAGACCGATCAACATCCAGGTATTAATGTAGCCGTTTGTCCCGCCCGCTAAATCCCCGATGCTCGCTAATTCGATAGTGTCAGATACAACTACAATAATATAAAAACAACGCACCAGCTAAAACAGACGTATTGACGAACTTCAACCACTCCCATCGGTATTTATTATAGATGTACCACGGGATGATGGGAAGTACCAGGCCGATGATTATTCCGAGAGGAACGATAAAGTAGGGACCCCCAGGCCCATCTTGGATTTTGATCAGACTCATGCTGATGTATAGCACCAAGATCCGACGTACAGATTTCCTTTCCAAGAGCACCCCAAAGTATAGCATTAGCGTTATACGATTGGACTTGCTGTCCACTCCAAACACGTGTGCCCTCGTTACTTAGCTGGATAGGCGGACGGTGAGTCATGATAATGGTTTTCTGAGAAAAACGTACCAGAATTGTACGTTCGCTCGAGACGACAGTCTGCATGATGACATCTACACAAGCATGTCAATTGACGCTTTCTAATAAAGCAGGCGCCTATATAACGCACAGTTCAGCAGGGCTCCAACAATTGTGCCAGCCATCTGCACGGAGAACGTTGTCTATACGTTTTCAACGATTAGCATTCGGCCACAAACGAGAGAAATAGTGGTTACTCTGGGAGGAACTACAACAATGATATCAGATAGGAAATGGTGAGGATAAGGCCCGCTTACGCTTTGTGTATTGGCCGAGCTTCAGATCACCGAGCATACCTGCAGCCTGTACTAGGGTTTGGCTTGAGTACAGCTCAAAGTACTGCAAACACTCGGTGATTAGTCCCATTCGTGCATAGACAAAAGACGGTGTACCATATTGGCTTGTGAGGACCCGGGAATGAGCGCCGAACCAAGCATCTGGAACATATTGGAAATAGCGGGTGTGAAGCTAGCTGGGAATATTACATCTATAGCAGGTCATCTACCGAGCGTACTTACGCTGCGACGGCCCACATGGCGCCGTAAAAAGGCAAACATAGTGCCGCAATTATGATGGCCACGATGAGTGCCCACCATGGCAGCCTAAAGTTCCCAATCAGATGATGCCGTCGTCTGCGCGGAACATGAGCTCACCCTGACTTCTCGGTATATGCGCAAACCACTGCAGAATGTTATACTCAGCTGCGATATAATATCCACATTTATAGACATACTTGCAGAGACAAACGCTGCGAAAACAATCAAAAATCAGGTCTTGTAAATACAGAAGACACACGCACCGCCCAATGTGACGAGAGCATACCACCAGAGAGGAACTGAGGAAACGGTTGTATTAGCAAAGTTCATGCATTACGTTACAATGTCAAATTACCTTCACGATAAATCTAGACAGAAGAACACGATGGATAACATGTATAGCGGATGCAAGTGAAGGGCTCACAGCCATTCTCTTGAAGTGATGATCATTCACAGGCTTTCGGTGTAAGCTTGAATTACACATCAGGTCAGACTCACAGCACGAAGCTTGGAATATAGCGCACAAGTCTATAAATGCGCCCCAGATCTAAACAGTGGTCGAAGGTCAGGGTATGGCTTAGACGACCAGGAAGAGAATACCTACCTCTTTGCCGTACCAGAGGCCAATGTGTACGAAGCAAGCTCCGATTGACATGTTAAGCCCCAAGTTGTAGATCTGAGTGTGTGTTTAGAGATGAGAGTCATACTCGTGTATCCGAACATACCACCGTGGAACCGCTTTGCCACGGCTGACCATAAATTGCATAGGCAGTCTTGTTCAGGGAGTAGTCGCTACACAAAATTTGTCAGACACAAAGGGGGTGGTGATCAGGCTGAATAAATGTACGCATTAAGAATCAAGTTCTGATCGTAAATGGTACCGTTCTCGTCTGGTTAACACAGATGCATATGAGCGAGGACCTTCGCATGAAATACGCCGCTTACAAAAGCTGTTCAAGGTCATTTAGGGAATAGATCATTTGATAAAGGAAAGATAAAACACTTACAGATTCTGCGAAATGAAGGGAAAATTTTGAGAATGCCATATATTGGATGCAAAAATGGCGGGGAGCAAGAAGTAGTTGATGCCCCAACCAACGTAGTTCGACAACTGAGTTGAGAGGGGGGAATAGAACGGCGAACTGCCGATATTAGCCCAGTCGACACCGAAACCCATCAGCCCCATGCCTTCGTTACCCTCTGCACCGCCGAAGATGTATGAGACCCAGTCAGAGTTGCGCGCACACAAGCAGACTATATTGAACGAGCCGAGAAGAGGTGCGATCCACTCCGGGAACCATTCGTATACGAAGATACAGGCTGTGACGATCCAGAAGAAGCGAAGACGTTTCCCCTGGAGTGCTTCACCCTTCGATCGATGAAGAACGTCGAACAGATTGACGTATATGAGATTCTGAGGGTAAAGCATGATCGTGGGGTAAACAAGGAAAGAGCCTGCATGCCATAAGTCACAATGTGGAATGAGTGTGAACACAGCATCATGTACTTACGGAACATCCCCGCAAATCCGTAGCCGATCAACTGAGAAGCGAGGAGTGTGAAAATGGCGTTACCGGGCTGCAAAGAAGTGCATTAGAGCAACCATACTGAGAATGATGAGAGGCGTCTTACATTAACGGTAATTCCATAGAAGAGGTCATCGGAGGCGAAAACAAAACACGCCAAAGCTGCAGTGCTACAAGACGACTCAGCCATCCATGAACTTTAAGCGTTGGAGAAACTTACGCTGCGGTGTTTGCCATGATCTGTGCGGCAACATGTTCCTTGATATCTATGTTTAAAAAATGCATCAGCGATCCAAATATATATGGGAGCGATAACCACATACTAAAAGGTCCAGGATTCATGAATCTCCAGAACCAATTGCCATTATGAAAGCGACTCTTAGGGCCTGGAATGACTGCCTGGAAGACACGACCGAGCATATACGCCAACAATTGGAGGAACAGTGCAGATACGGATATGACCTGTGGGCGAAATTGCTTATCAAACAGCATTATTAGCAAAGTCCGGCAAAAATGCAACTGTGACGACTCACGAAGAGCATGCCAAGTACAGCACCAAAGACAGCAAGACCGAGACCAGTGAACCACATACGGAACGTATGGATGGGCAACGTGGGGTCGTCGTCGTCGCTAACGAGAGCACGAGAGAAATCTTCAGCTGTCTCTAGGACCTTCTCTTTACCATTCTCGTCGTAGATCTGGTCATCCGACGAGTCCTCTTCAATAGATTCATTGACTGACCCAAGCTTTTCGAGCTTTTCCGAAGAACTAGTGTCATCGATGCCGACGACGGGGTACTGGGGGAGCCGATCGACGAAGTCGGTAGCTTGGCGGGCGTCGCGGGCTTCGACAGGCCCAAGCTCATGATCGAGGCGAGTCATCGTGCCGCAGTCAGGGTGCAACCGCAGTTAGGATGTGATTCGAAATATCAGCGAGTGTCAGACCTTGGGCGCGATTGAAAGACGGTACAAGTTGGATGCCATATATACCATAATCCTTGCCCGCGGCATACCATGATTCAACGACAGATACAGATAGTGCGCATTCCTCTAGATGCCCCTGAAGGTAATTCAAAATTGAGCGGAGTCGCAACGCATGTAGAATGTAGTATATCTTGACGCACCCGCATGGTCTTTTCTTCCCTAGTCAAGGCTCGGCAGTTAGAATGGGGTCGCTACTACTGGAAGGAGCGAAGCCCGCCGCGAACGGCTGACTTACCTTGCCACGATAAGGATGCACTTACGCAATGTCACTCAGTTTGATCGCAAGCAACTATAGATCACGGGAACATCTTCATAAGTCAACATTCAGCAATGGAATATCTCGGCTTTAGTGTTATTCACTAATGCGAATCTTCGGGGACATGGGAGTGCTAGAGTTCAAAAGAGGGTACTGTGGGGAACCCATGGTCAGCGCAACTTCCAATTCGCATACAAATTATATTTGGCAGGGAAGACTGGCCTTATCATTCAGGGTCAATGAGCAATTCAGCGTTCGCTTTACTGTCAAGAATCGCTCAAAATAATATCAGCGCTCGGGCCATCCGAAATTCGCCACTTGCCACCATAGCAGCGCTAGCCCGACGGGCGCTTGCTTTGAGTAGTAGCCCGAGCTGGGTGGTGGCAGCAAGTCGATTGTGCCAAGTCGATTGTGCATATGGGCCGATTTGCAAAAGGGATGGCCTAAGTCCATACGTCGCTGGGGACCAGTGATTGTCAGATGCGGCAGCGTTCATAACGCAATCGCATGCACCGGCAGTAAGTTACATCGTTCGCCAGCATTTTGAAAAAAGAAAACGGACCCCATCACGCCGGGTCGTTTGAATTCGTCAAATGTCTTGCTCTCATGATGAAGATGCGACTCACTACAGCAGATTTCAAGCCGAACAGAATGCTACCGCTACTGCCACTTGCGGCCCGCCAGTGACCGAGCACCTTGAAACTATCTCTCAAGCGATAGCCCAGATAAGTTTCTTGTCCTTATCGCCCGTAGGTTTAATCTTGTAATCTAGGTACAGTTTTTCACTAGCCTCGGCGTGGCGCGGAATCCTTTCTAAAAGCTGCCCACGTCGATACATTAGAGTGCCTGAAATAGTTCGTCCCTTGCTATTGCTAGATGCCACTTGGGCACCTTGGTCGATAGCCTCATACGCAAGGGTCGCGAAGACTAACGCGGGCTTGAGACAGTCGTCACTCACTGCAAGGTGACGCCGCATTATCGCTTCTATCAAGAATCACCCATTGTCGAGCATTGGCCATACTGAATAGAACGAAATCAGATCGTTCCGTTCCGTTCCTGCAAACTAAATGAGGTCATCAGCATTGAGAGAAATGTCTACATTGCCGAGTTTTCTACGAAACAACAGGCAGGACGCCAGTGCTTTCTGTGGCGGAGTTGTCCTTGCTCGGATCCGCACCACCCACACGCTCTCCAAGCTCGTCTACGAGCCGCATAAGTTCCTCCGCTTCCTTCGTTAGTTGCGCAATAGAAGTATGCGCGCTTCTGTCCTCGGGCTTGAGACTCAGCTCCGCCGACGCCCGCTGCACCGTCTCCATCCAAGTCGCGCCTTCACGCGATAAAGCTTCAGCTAGCTCGTCTTTGATTCTCCTGCAGGTTCCGACCCCATCGTATCCGAAACTGGTGTAAATCTGCACCGCCGTTGCACCCGCCTTCGCATATTCTAGAGCGTCAGCTCCCGATGATATGCCCCCACACCCAATGATAGGCACAGCGGCGGGAAGACGCGCTCGAAGCATACGGAGCGTTGCCAAAGAGTAGGGCTTGAGAGGTGGTCCGGATAATCCTCCGGCTTCCGCTTTGTTGGCTGCACACACCGAAACGCCGAGCCAAATCCAGAGCAACTTGAATCACTATCATATGATAGACAAGGCTCAGAATATGCGCTCACCATCGGTGAGAGTCGACGGGCGTCGCACGGTCGTATTGCTTACGATCACGCCATCCACGCTTTTTTGAAGGATTGCTTTCGCAATATCGTCAACTTGTGCCTCATCGAGGTCAGGCGCAATCTTCAAGACAAGCTTTGGACGCCGAGACTTGTTCGACTCAGAAGTCGCAATCTCATCAAGTGCATGGGTGACGCGCCCGAGCAGGTCCTCCAGAAGCGCATGGCTTTGAAGTGCCCTGTCAAGAAGAGGCCATCAATCAGTACATGGGAGCTAGGCACAAGAGGAGCGTATGGAGCCATTCCCAGGCCATTGCGGAAACAATATTATTAACTACATCGGGCTCAGTGATACCAAATCAAGAGACTGCATACCACGCCCACATGGCCTTATCGTAATTGACGACCATGGGAGAAGTGACATCACAAGATAGTCATGAAACTCACCGAAGTCCAGGGGTGTTTGGACTAGAGATGTTGACAACAAGCACGTCGGCGTATGAACCGAAAGCGCGTATGCCACTGACAAAGTCGTCTGCAGATTCCACAGGAGAGGTCTTGTTTTTGCCGAGGTTGACAGCCAGTAAAGCATTTGACCTCAGGGATGCATGTGGCTCACTTCCTTCCTGGTAGAAGATGGGGAAGCGTGCTCTAAGGCGAGCAAGAACGGTCGCGTGCCCGTCTGAGGGAAATCCATAACGGTTGATAACAGCAGTGTCGTCCATCAAGTGGAACATTCGCGGCCGCGCATTTCCGGGCTGGTGACGATAAGATGGAATTAGCACCAGATCCATGAACGCGCCATCATAAAATCATTCTATCCATTGGAGGCTAGTGAAATCACGTTGATTCAAAACGTACCTGCGGCTTTGGGGTGACACTGCCAATTTCAACCCAACTGAACCCAAGGTTGAATAATCCTGCGCCATATCACACCTGAATCTTTACATTAAGCACAGTGCGCCGATAAGTAATCACTCGTACCGTCAACAGCCTCGCCATGTTTATCAAAACCAGCCGCAAGTCCGATCGGGTTAGACAGCTCATCTTCCCAGAGCTATTCAAGGTGGCATGTTTGCAAAGCTCCGGGAATACAAAATGGGAAGACCTTACCTGAACCTTCAATCGCTCGTCGTCGGATTGTGTATCCCGTGGCGCAAACCCGCTGGCTAGCACTCGCACGGCGAGTTTGTGCCCGTTCTCGGCGTCGAGGATGTGTCGAATCACGGGAGTGAGAACATAACGATGAATCGCAGCACGCGAGTCGAAATAATATGCAGCAAGAGCGCCTGTAGAAAGAAGTAGCAGCGAAGCATAGAGACCTCTGCGAGCCGTGAACGAGCCCTCTGCTACTGAAGAGGATGCATGCCGGCGAAAAAGCTGTGAACTAGAGCGCTGCGGCTGAAGCTTAAGCGTATGATTCGAAATGAGACGCACAGCAGACATGCAAAGCAAACTGACGGATAAAATGCCAGTCCTTTGCGTCGTAGTAGACGTGCAGCGTAGAGAAATTGCGGAGCTAGCAACTCGCCAGCGCATTCGTTTCCAAATTAGGGAAGCGCGGCGCCTGTAGATAGTACATCGCAAGCCTAATTTTTGTACTAGTAACAGTCCATGGCCAGTAGCAAGTCGTGACTACTACGTATAACGTTCAAGTGACATACAAACCCTCTGCAGGATATCATGAGCATGTGCTCACGTAGAGTATGGGAGTAGCTTGGTGATAAAGCCGTACGAATACACTTTCCAGAGGAAAGGCAAGTCCACTGTCTACTCATTTCCAGATTAAAATCCCGAAATTGGCGCAGTCTTAGCTAGACCACGGAGTGCATCCAACAGAGATTTATCTTCATCCGAAACTCCCATGAGTTTGTCCGTTTCCCCGCCAAATGGACCCACAAATGGAAGCTCATCGACCTCGCAGATAGTCCCTTCCTCTGGCAGCGTCCCGTTGATGAAGTATTCACGAATGTACTTCGCAGTACAAAGCGACGGCGCAGACAACGAGCAGTGTCCAAACGAATTCTGCACCAACAGCCCCGCACCTCCATATCGAGACCGTACTGCACGAGCGTCAGCCAGCGGGCACACAGGGTCGTACATCGGTGAAATGACCAATATCGGATGCGACGTCTTTTCAGCCGCGAATGGGCCCATGTATCGCCATTTGGGTCGGATTTGCCACCCAGCGCAACACAGATATTCAAGGCCCCAAATCGGCGCCGCAAATGGAGACGACGCAGACAAGTCTGTGAACCATTTTCGATAGCCTTCTGGGGTGTACGCGATGGGCTCGCCATCTCCGCACATGACAACGCCGAGTGCTTCTGTTTCTACAGGCAACGAGTACTCCTGCTCGCAACTGCACTCAAAGCCCCCACCTAGCTTGCTTGAAAGAGCGGCCGGCATGGTTCGATTGATCTGCTCCACGGCCAGAAGCGTGTCCGCGAACAATGGGAATTGTTCAATCGGATTGTGGAAAGCCTGAAATGCGAAATTCTGGAGTGCTTTCCGAGTCACGACCAGCGGTCCACTTCCAGCAAAAGGCACTGCTAGAGGTCCTTCCGTGACCTGGTCCATAATAGCGAGAACACGATTTCTGATTTGTGTCGCACTGGGCATGTACAAAGCGCACTTCGCTGGGCCGGCGCGGTGACAGAATATGAAGAATGATTCCCAAACAGCGTCTGTGTCCATCAGGTTAGTGTTCCAGGATGTATTGCGATAGTTGTACCCGTCGTAGACCCCGTCGATAATCAACCGCCCAATCTTGTCTGGGTACATCGCAGCAAAGTACTGGCCCAGTATGGAGCCGTAACTCTGGACAGCGTGAAAGGAGATTAGTGTCGGGCAGCGCTTCGGCGGGATTACTCACGAATCCCCAGTACTTCAGGTTATCCTCGCCGAGCTTCTCAACAATTCGAAGCATGTCTGTCCCAACACTTGCCGTACTCATGAATCTGCCTGCACCCCACTCATCCACAGTTCCATTCGGGTCCTCCCTCCCATTACCACCCAGTGCGGCTTTGCACATCGCTCCTACCGTCCTCTCGCGTGCAAGAGCTAAATTAACGGATCCATCGGTCAAGTTGAGGAGCCTGTCTCCTGCTTGAAGTTCCCATATCTTGCGCTGCGAATCGGAGTGGAAACACTGAGCGGGGGGTGTGCTGGCACCAATTCCCCGCGGATCGAAGCCCAAGATATTGAACGATCCGCCAACGATCCGAGATATCTGCTTCCCAGCGACCATGACGAGCTCCGTTCCCGATGCCCCAGGGCCGCCGGGGTTGATGAGGATGGTCCCCCTAGGAATCCCCTCGTCGGATGCAGGCAGCATTTGCAGTGCGATGGTCACGTTCGGTCCTACGCCGGGCGGAGAGAGGTAATCCAGAGGGAGAATGAGCCTTGCACACATAAATTTGGAGAAACATGGCTTCCATTCAATGTCTACGGAAGGCACAACCTGTCCATAGACTTAGATGGGCCCCATGTCAGTACGCAGAATTTTTAAGTTACAACGTACCGATGTCCAATCAAACACAGCATCTGTTGATCGCTCAGGGAGCACATGCGATCGAAGTCCAAGTTCATTCGTCCACTGATTCAATGCGCATGCTGCAATCAAGAGGCAAACAAGCTTTACGACAATGTGATCTCTCCAAACGTATCGATGCTTAACAGGTGTTACGGTGGGAAGAACACCATTGCCGGCTGAAAGCTTGTCCAAGCTCATAGTATCAAGACGTCTCCGTCTGAGGTGGGATGCGCCAAATCGCTTATAGCCTCTTAAATATGTGCTACCATCTGCCAGCGCCTGTTCATCGCCAGTAAACCGAATTGAGGTCAGCAAAACTTGGCCATAAGACGTCACCGAGGGCCCACATGGCAGGTAGAAGAAGAATCTCAAGTACCGTTTTCAATTCGTCTAGACTTCTGCTGTTAGTCTAAGTGCAGAATTGAAGTGGAAGGCGGGTGTATGTACGCGTGCTGTAGATTCATCTCTGTATGGTCTCAAGTAGGGAATAGTGAACGCGGGGAAATGTGTGGAAGAACAATACGCTGCACAGTTTGCAAGGCACAGCACCCCAAAATTGCCACTAATCGCTCGCGCACCTTGTTTGGACAACTGTGTGATTGCGGTTGATTCGGGATCTATTGTTAGGTTGAGAGCATCACATTAGTCCTGGTATGGCTGAACCGGAATATATATATTATTGTCGATTTAATCGATGTGGTCCAAAATCTCTCTCGCTCTTTGTACATATAGCTGAAAACGTTCTTCAAACCCGTCGCATATTCTCCGCGCGATGCCTTGCGATGCCGGCACTGCGTCCGCTGCAACTGCGATGGATATACCGCCAGCATAAGAGATGATACCCATCCCGATCGTGCCTGTCCGCATGCACATATCAGCGAAAGGTCATATTGCACCCTCGCTGTGTGCGGCGCACCTTTTCCCGCTTGAGGAGGGAGCGCGGTCCACTTGAGGACCTCGACACCCTCCAACGTGATCGGATTCTTCGCTGGACCTGGCACACTGTGGAAGAATGTCAGTAAAGATATACTGAATAATCCGCGAAATAGCCACTAGCTTTGTGAGGACGACAGAGACTGTAGAGTCGTCAGACTTAGTGGCGCAACGGAGCGAAGTTCTGCCTTACATGACTGCAGGGCAAGCTCGTACAGCGGCTTCGTAATCCATTGAGTGATCCAAGTTTTCATCCGCTGTGCCGGATTGGCTAGGAGCGAAAGCCGGAGAAAGACTGGCGCCTGGCCAGTCATCTGTATGATATAGAATAGCAGCTTGGGCCAGAGACTGTGCTTGAGCAGCGACAATTCCGCACGACAGCGATGTATGTGCGCATGCAATTCATGGACAGGCGCATCTCTCGTCAGCTCCAATGACGGGTTCAAGTACACCAGCGAACCAGTCGAGAGGTTCCGCATGGACCAGTCGCCCGGCTGACGGAGGCTGATCGGTCTACGCCCATCATCAACATCGCCAATACGGCAGCTGCATGCTGATTCTAAACGCACATGAAAAACCCAATAGGTGAGGGCAAGTACTTTTTCAACCACTTTCTCACCGTCTCCCGTGGTCCGCGAGACTGGCCCACGGACTTAGCCTCGATTTCTCGCCCCAGCACATCAGCCATGACTGCACACACAACATCATTCAGCGTAATGTGCCCCGCCTTGCTCCGCGCCTTGTCGCGCTTATCCCTGGGCACGCCCGCCACTGCGCTCCCTGGGCGCGGACCCGAGAACGCCTGCTGACACAGCTTCACCTCGCTGATGCTAAAGACGCGCGAACTCGCAAACTCGCGAGCCTTCACGCGTGGACCAGGTTGCGGGCCTGTGAGCATGTCAATGCGCCAGCAGGTCAGCAGAAAGAGGGTAGCTTGATTGACACCCTGGTATACGCTCCAGAAAAGTGAAACGCACGTGGAAGTGATGTAGGCGAACCAGAATACCAGGGCCAGCAACAATTGCAGTAACGGACCGATAAGCGAGTTGTCGGCGAGAGGATCTAAGAATCGGAGTAGGGGGTGGATCTTCGACGGAGGCAATTGTCCGCGTCGAGCTGCCCGCAGGTTGTTTGCTGAAGAGTTCATCATGTGCACGAGGTCGTCATGATAAGATGTAATGTAGAGTTGGCTTATAACAAAGCCTGTGGGCCAATCAGACGGGGAACATTAATGGCTGCATGTCTCTCACCTTGGCCGTCGGCAAGTGCATGATGCCTGCTCAAAGTCAAGTTACGTGGTATGTTATCACAAGTGAACACACCCTCTTGTAATTACGGCGCATTGTGCGCCGTCTTCATCGTGGTAGTTCTCGACGAGGATCATCTCCCAGAGCGGACGAGAGAGATCCCAGTCTTGAGCTATGAACTCACCCATCTACCGACAGAGCTGAGGCCTGAATATTTGTATTCCAAAATTGGACTAACTAACCAGTTCGTTGAGCTCCACACGCCCTGCGGGCTCTGGTAGGGAAACGGCGCGTATGTGGTTCTTCAAAGAGAACTCGGGGTCATCCGCAAATCGGGCACCATGCAATCTGCGGCCAACGGAAGTGATTCTCTGTCTGAACTTCGGGAATCTCTTCGCTTGACGATTGGCTGACTAGATATAAACCTCATCATGTCATAGGCGCAAGACAGAGTCACGCACGCTATAGAGCTTCTCCAGAGATAGTTTTCCCTTCAGTGTATAGGTACAAGCGCAGACCTTAGAACGCATGTAAGCTCACACATAGGTGCAACTACGAGTGACTCTGCTCACCGGATTAAAGTCTGCCGCGTCGGTAAGAAGAAACCATAGGTTGTCTATCCCTCCAATGGTATTCCGCCGCTCCTCGATTTCCTTGTCGATCCAGTCTCCAGCGGACAAAAGCATCTTTGCAATCTTTCCTGTAAACCCTCCCGTGCGCTCCAGGTCTATGAGTGACCATTGAAGCTTGTCCTCGACATTGATGGGAACCGGTGGGTCGCCTTCGGCATTGCAGTTGTGCTCGAACGCACCGGGAATGGTCATCCAGCTATCTTCGAAGTCATTCATTAGTAATAGATCTTATAAACACGAATATTTCAATAGTCTAGGTCAGAATTGAATGGAGAGACAGCGGCAAGTAAGTGACGCACGAGATATTGACACTCTGGGGTCGAGGAGTCGCCACGTGGATAAGCGTCTCTGAACCCGGTGGCACGGGTCATGGACTCACCGTATTCAACTCTCGAGCGTCACTTCGTGTGATGCTTCCCAAGATGACGCTACCCGGGCATTAAAAACTAATACGGAGAGAATGTCGCAGCATGTAATCCCCACCGACATGAAAATCAATCCTGAATTTGGCGCTACCAAATCAATTTAGCTAATTTGCATTTGAAATTGAAGCAAGCTGCGCCTGGGAGGCCGCAGTCGGAAGTAAAAAAGCCAATCAACATAATTTGCAATTGATATTGAATAGTCAAATTCAGGCAGTAAAGTACTGTGCATGGTGAAACTCACAATACACGGCTACCTAAGTATCACAAATCTACCAACTGAGTCTACTATCATATGATATAGCATCCCCGTGCACCGACAGGATATCGAACATTCCCGTCTTTGCAATCTGTGAACAATTAATGCCGAGTATACATTGACATACTATGGACTACAAAGTTGACGCTTATAAGACAAGCAAAGACTACTCACTCAATGATATAAACAGAGGAAGTATGATAGGTTCATGTACATGAGAAATAGTCACAGCAGAAGTGGAGGTGGAAAGCGGTAGCCTGAGAGGATGCGTGTGCGAGTGAGGGAGGGGACTAGCGAAAATAACGTCCCATTATATTCTCCAGGACACTGATACCTTGCAGTGTCAATTCGTCCTAATTATCATCAGACATCTCTGCATACGCATAACCCGCTGAGTCTTAGCCAGAATTTGCTGAAGTTGAATGAGCGCTGACGACGACCAAACCAAAGGCATCTCGTGGTAATAATTATCCGCGCACAGATGTGAGATAACATCGTCGAGTTCGGGTATGTGACGCAATTCAGCGCGTTCATGGATACACAATGTTGTAGACGCACGTCGAACCGGGTATGGGAAAGGGGACGAGAGCGTAAATTGTGTTATTCACATCGGGGAATGATCACACCATCTGTCATCTATAGATGGAAATATTCACCACCGATATGAGGACGTGTCTGGAAGATCCACAGGCTGCATTAGCGGCGCAAATGTCACGGTATTGAACGCCGTCTGTTCGAGGTCTGCCAGAAACTCGAGGCCTAATAATGAGGAGCAAAGCACGTCTTGAAGCATAAGGTCGTGGTTTTTCTGCCGAAGCGTAGGGAAGTCAATGTGAATGTCCAGGCCGAGGTCCAGTTTTCTGAAAAATCCATACTAAGATCACAATACGTGTACAGCAACTGTATGGATACCTACAAGGTATTCTCATGGCCAAATATCTCCATGGCTGAATCAATCGAAGTAGCAGAATCGAATGTCTCCCAAAAGGCTCTGGGGCGCAGATTATGGGGTGCATGCTCATTCCTCTCATCAATGGATAGACAAGAGGACGCAGGGGTATCAAAGTCTAGGTAAGTGGGTGGTGTGATGGACTCGATACTGCGTTTCGTATGGACGCATAGAGGTAGAGGTAAATCATCCAGCTGGCAGTCATTGAGCAATACGAAGTCGACAGTGGCGATCATGCTGAGCAGACTGAGGTGATGGTTGTGGGGATGGAAGAAAGTCTACACTGAGCAACAGAGGTGCAATTCTTATAGTCCGAGGCGTGGTCATTGTCATGTTCGGCTGGTGAACAACGCGCAATGCCCTTCTGTGGACGAGGGCCACCATAACATCATGGCCACCGGCGTTTACCGCAGATCGACCCGTCCCACGTCAGTGGAACCTGGGGACAGCTTTGCTTTTGACAAGTTTGAAGTATTCGTCCACTGCGTTGCGGAAGCAGCAAAAATTACCCAACTATCCATGTGAAATTCCGTGATGTTCGATCCAAAGGCGGTTGCTCCGTGCGGAGCTGCGGTGGCGGTCGCTGTCTAGCGTGTGTCACGGTGCCGGTACTGGCGCGACATTTCCCTTGGTTGTCCAATTCTATAATACAATGCAGTGTTGGGTTCAAAGCTTCTGTAGACAACATTTCAGCTGGAACGCACGGAAAGGACAGTATTTATTCTCGCAATACCCGGGCTACGTAGCTATGACCCCTCCATGGGCCACACAATGGAAGTGCTCCACAATGTTGCCGCAAAGGAAGCATCTGGTGGAATGCGATAAAACTGGGGCAAGAAAGAGTGTGCGAGTTTCCTGAACAGCATTGTCCTTCCGAATGTAGCTGTGTTTTATAATCTTGCCGTCGAGAGTGAGGGTTTGAGCTAATTGATCTAGTTTCCCCCTTTACGATGAGGCTTCAATCCCCCACTCACTCTGACATCATTTGAGACATCTCATACATAGTCGGAGACCACATACTAGAGTCCCACCATATACTCATACATATTCTACATTATCCGAGGCTGATAGGAGCTGAGCGAGATACACGACCGGATGGCATCTATAGCACCATCGGGAACAGTTGTGTAAGGCAGCATCAATGTGGTCGGCAATTTCCAGGAGACGACTCTCGACATCCCTGGGAGGACATCTGCAATATTCAAGGCGCCATATCTCTGTATGTGTATAGCTGCGCAAGGCTTCGTCACTTGGGAGCACTTACAGACTCCGCCTGTCTTCCATCCTTTTGCACATGGGAGATCAACGACACATATCCATACCTGTGGACACACCACACACGTGGATCTTGTTTCCGCAAACACTCATTTGTTCGCACTCTTGTGCGATGCATTTCGGAGCGGGTAGCTGTGGGCCTAAGGCTGAGGGAGCTTGAGCTGATCAACTGTGATTGGCCCGCCGAGTCCGAAAACAATGATATCAATAATCTGTAGTAAAGCCGGTCGGATATTTCAGGGGAAAACCTGAACCGAGGGATTTATTGGATTATGACGTGACAGCGAAACCAAGACTTTAGTCATTGAAGCTCGATAGGAAGCATGTGTAACCATGGTAAGACATAAACTTATCGCATTCGACCACTCGAATGGGGGTGATTGCTATCTGAGTGGACCAGAACCATCATTTGTATACCCGTTATTGAAAGCTTTCGTGATAACACTTAGCATGTCCTCACCTTGATAATAAACATGTTCTCGAACAGCTCCAACAGACTGTCGGGGGAGTCCGTAAGCCAAGGAATTTGGGTACGCACAGACCTGAATTGAGAGGTCAAGACAAGTTGTCAACTAGCCCAGGGTCTCGCGCATACATGACACCACACGAAGGTCAATGTACTCAACGCAGGAGGGCATTGTGTATGGTTGAGTGAAAAAGACGTCGACAGATCCAGCTGGTCACCTCTCCTTCGCTCTACTCAAAACAAATCTGTCGCGTTATTCTCCAAGCGTAATACAGGTTTGGCTAGTGGTACATCTGATAGAATAAAGCAAGAGATCCGTGAAAATGCAGCGGGGAGAGGGTACATCTAAATCTGCTCAAGATTCGAGCGCCATACAAAGGAAGCAGGCGTAGTTTGACCCCTGAAGAGGAGAGATTAATCGCGTTAGAGACCACAAGGATAGAGAGACTGCAAGAAAAGGCTCACGTACATCCACGACTACTGAGACACATAACAAATCATGCTCAACTCCTCCACCAAATTCATATCGCTATGGCAGTCAAGTGTCTCGCATCGTAAATGCCTCACTAGTGCGTCCCTTCTGCTAAAACCTCGCATACACCCACCCGTCACCAATCGTCCTTTGTATGATGCTACGACCTCTTCATCGCCCTGTGCGAGCACTCCGCAGCAAACCCACTTCATCTGGTTCGCAACCGTACGATGTGACTCTATATGCCTCTTCATGTCACTCTTCACAGCGCGAGGGGACACGTAGGAACATCCAGACACAGGACACTTGCGCTTGCCACCCTCAAGGGCAAGACGTACCTCTTGATCTGAAATAGAACTCTGAAGGTTGCGCGGAAGCGCATTGGATTTCGTGTGCCCACGAGCATGGCGGGATGGTGCTAGTTCCGGGGAGGATAAAGCATACGGCGACGACGACGATGTCGACAATCCAGGCGAGATCGGATATGGCATAAAACGGGAAGATGAGGCATTACTCTTTTCTGGAATGCCATTAAGATGTAGTGATTGATCAGAGGCGGTGGAGTTATGATCGAGGAGAGGGATCGAGGAGAGGGGTGAGGGGTTGGCAACGGTACAAGGAATGTCCGGGGAAACTTTAATGAGATACTGGGATATGAGAGTAGGATCCCAGAGAGATGGAGGATCCTCAAGAGAATTGACGTTTGCCTCAAGGCCGAAGTCAAGACCGCTGAGCGAATGGGAGTGTTAGCGCACTGTTGCCATTAGCATGGTCGGACTCACAGAGTGTTTCCCCAGGATTCGAGACCATTGAACCCGCCATTGGCGTTCCCACTGGAATCGAGCTTATTGGCAGTATTTTATTAAGCTGGGAAAGATCGATGCAATGAAGCGACTCGGACGTACATGCTCAGTAGGTGGCAATGCACACCCACTCAATTCCGGAAAAAATCCCGTAACATCAAATTCGGAGGCTAGATTCTGCAGAAGCAAGTCCTCGGAGGGGTCGTGAATGTCTGGGAACAACAGACTCTCATCAGCGAAGAAGTTGTCGAGCATGTTCGGTATCGCTGAGCACAGAAGGAGCCGGAGATTCTAGGAGGATAACGAGATTCATGAGTGCAATCAGAGGTGGTTTTATAGTCCGCAGAGACATAGCCATTGTTACGTCGAGGCGCATAAGCCGGGCTTCCTGGTGGCGGGGGTGGGAGAAGAACGTTTCGCTATAAGAACCATGCTGCTCGCTAGTCCTTTTTGGGGACGTGAAGAAGTGGGCGCTCTCCCAAGATGGCAGGTCGCCTAGGTCACGGGACCGCGATAATGAGACGCGTCGCGACACTCCATGCAGCGGAGTGGCGATTTGTACACGCACTCGAGGGGCGGGTTGATTGTAGATTATAGGCAGTCATTTCTTGAAATATGTAAATCGATTAAGAATGAATGCAGAGCTGCGCAGTCCCTCAGCAAAAGTAAGTGCTTCAGCCGGTCATTGCGCTAGTAATACACCAGACTCAATGCGTAAATATTAAGATATAGTGACTATAGTGGTGCTTCAGAATTCGCTCTTTCTACATGGGCTGAAAATTTTGTATTTTCATATATATTTTTAAATATACTCCTATCATCTTGTGGTTACATCAGTATCTCCACTAAAGCCAGGTCTCCTCTACGCGCGGTGTTCTTGCTCTTCAGCTGCCGCAACAGTGTATGTCTCTTGGATTTCTTGTCCACACTATTTGCCAACACTCTGCAATAGTCCCCATTCTCTCTTCCCCGAACGAGCCTCCACACCGTATCATAATCCCGCGCTTTCCCGCTGAGGACGCCGGTACTCCGCAGCTGCATCGGGCCCATGAATCGTTGAGCGTGTCGTGGGCGCGAGCGTACAAGGTAGGCTAGTGCGTACAAGCGGAGGCTACGTCGTACTTTCTTTGACCACGCTGATAGAGGTATGGTTGACGTGGGGAGGAGATTGCTGTAACCGATGTGTTCCAAAGATCTCGGGGAGCAAGGAGAATTGCCAAGACATAGGATGCAGGTATGCAGGGCTGTTGCCGCGATAACGCTCAAATCAGTGGCAATAAACATAAATGGGTGGGTATATGCTGGTAAGGAAGAGAATCTGTGATACCGAAAGCCAACCGAGCAAACGCAGGAGGAGAGCAAAGGGATGTTGGAGTGTGTAAGGGGGACAGACAACCTGATCGTTGACCTTGGAGATGTGTGGGGTTATGGCGACAGAAAATCAGTACATCAAGTATACTTTGACCATTTTTTACCCTCATCCTGTGGTCAACCCCGAGATCGGGAGGATAGGCTGACCAGGCGTGAGCTTGGCGGCAAGGAGATTGAAGCTGCAGGAAAATAGCCATTGTAGGACGTTATACTCAGTAAGAGATCAACGCTGGCGAATTGTCGGGGTAGATGGCAGGCAAAAGCCCAGCCAACAGACCAGCCGAACGTTAAGTTTATGAAATATACGGCGTTGGGCAGCGAATCGACAAGAGAGATGGAAGCGGGTAACGAGAGCACATAGCGCCTTTCCTCCGTTGACCATAGTCTCGCGTACCGCCGCCCCACACCGAGCCTACGACCTTCGGCGACGACCAGGACGGTGGACATACCATACACAGTAAGTGACGATTCGCGAGCCCTCTGCTGTAACCACCGAATGGTCATTTAGGCAATCGATGAAGAATAATATCGGGGGTTGTGAGATGCGAGCGTCGGCAGCACGGGACTGCATACAGGGAATGCATACGCGCAGATTCAATGAAGCGCGAACACAGTGATACACTGTGGGGAAGGCTGCAAAAACAAGTAGTATGGGTGGTGGGACGTGCGACTGCCAACGAGTCAACTCATTTTAGAAGACAAGCGATGTGGCTCAGAGAGGTATGCGCTTTGGCGGCCTTTTAGGTAGGCGCGATGAAGGAAAACAGTCTGGAACAAACCACGCCTCATTTGCGATAAGACCCATCGATTTCTCCGCGACGCACAGAGATTCGTCGCCGCATAGCGTTGACCAAACGACGTGGTCCATGCAGAGCCTTTCGCCAAAAAAGTATGGGAAGGTGTCGAAACATTCGATAAGGCTAACTTCACCAAACAATGCATGCCACTTGCAGGCTGTGGTCAGCTGTAGCAGAAAGTTGGCCACTCTATAGTCCCTTCCACAAATGTATACGAAGTAGGAAGCTCCGGCCCTCGTACAGACTCTCCATGCTGCCGCAGCACAAACCGATGCGGGCTTACATGCACCACATGTGAGCACAAAAGTGTGGTTTGCAGCAGCAGTCTGCCGGCGGAAGGTTCCGTCAATGATGCATACGCTCGATATGATGAAGCTTTATGCAGGGGCGGGAACAAACGAGAAGTTCTAGCAAAAGCGACCAACCTGGAAACGAAAAAGCAGATACACGCACCTCGTTGTGAGGGGACTAAATCTCATGAAACGTTGTCTGGGCTCGCGATCACTGAGATATGTATCCGCACCGCATATATGCGCAATTGACTGGTAGGCTATACGTGCAATCCGTGGCGACCGATTGGTGGCTTAGTTCATTCATCACTTGTTGAACGTTCGCCAAGTCCCACCACACTAACGTCCTCGTGCTGATCCGCCAGGAGGACGCACGATACTTTACTCAAGCAGCCGAGAGTGGCGGGAGGGCACGACGACTTTGTCTAACTTATAATGTATGGCCTTTGGGTCCATACATTGTCTGCGATCACGTTCTCGTGCCCTGCATTACCAAAATCATCATATCATCATTGCAAGCCGGTGATATCGCGCCAGGAACTCACTTGGAATCCAACCATCTATTTGGCCATCCCTATGGACACGTTGCGAGGACTCAAAAGTGATTCAATGTACCAAGTTGCCGTAGGATGATTGCCCATGATCACAACCCACCCTCCTACCTAGAACGATCCGTTTGCTCACTCGATCGAAGTAAACATTTTTCGCCAATAGGGAGACTAGGAAAACGGATCAAGCACGAAAGTGGGCAGATTATCAGGAGTCGACGTCGAGCGAGGTCAAGCTACGAACAGATTATGGATTAGTCTCCAAGCGCGTGTGGTCGTGGCACGAGCCAGGTCGCATAGCAAGCTGCGAATACAATGCGGTGGACGTCGATGTTTGTTTGTCGACTGAGTCGCGGCAAACGCCGGGTTGCCATTGTTACGGATGTGGCCGATGGTTTGTACGCTTTTGTATGTCCGTGCTGAATTTGTATTGTTGCATTGACTACGCAAAGCCAATCAGCGCTAGCATGGGCCCGTGGCTAGTGCCTGGCCAATTGTCCTCGCTTCGAGTTGAACATTCCACATGGCCGCTTGTTGTCTATATAAACCGTGAGTCCGTCCGCTCGATTTTCCTCACTCCTTTCCTCCTATTTCCTCTACTCCCGGCGTTGTACGCATCGTCTCCGAGCTGCGCTCGCTCCTGCCTAGGCTTCCCTCTTTCAGAGCCATTATTCACCTGTGTTCCCTTACCGGTCTTGACCGTTTACCTTGCCCCACTCGTTGTCTTTACTTGACTGAGTTATCATGGTTCAGCTCTCTTCCACTCTCCTTATCGCCCTCTCTGCAGTTGCCGTCCACGGTTTGCCCTTCTTTAAGCGCATCGACCAGACCATTGCCGATTCCACGACGCAATGGGTGGCTGCATGTGTATGTCCATGTTCATGCTCCTGTATTCCTCTAGCTAACGGATCTGCAGAACGCCGCTGGCGGAGGGAGCCAGTGCAGCACGCTCTCTGTTAATGCATTCGAGACGCTGCTCATCGGCGCTGGCGTTTGTGACCAGCAAAATGCCGCCGACTCTATGATCACCCTGGCGAAGCAGCTCAACAACAACGCCAACATGATCTCCCTCGCACAGATCTTCGCGCAGCAGCCTCGTAACACTGTAAGTGACAAGCCCTCTCGATCGCTGCGCGTTTGCTCACATTTCCTGCAGCCGACCTCCCAAGCTGTTCCATACTGCCAACAGGCACCCAACAACACGGAACTCAACGGGTACTACCAGTGCCAGTTCTCCGGCGCAAACCAGCAGGTCTTTGTTGGGAACCTCCAGGTCGGCGCCGCCGGTACGATTCCCTTCGGGCTCACCACCCCTGTATCCCCTCCCGGATCCTGCCCTGCCAACCCGTCTGGACCCATTGCGGACGGCGATCAGCTTGTCAACATCACCACGAACCCCGGAACCCCCGCCACGGGCAGCGGTCAGGGCAATGCCACTGCGAGCGCAGCCTCTGGCTCTGGCTCTGTGACCGCGACTGCTACTGCCACGACTGCTACCGCGACCGAGACAGAGTCTTCGGAGTGCGGCGGCGATGATGATGACGATGGCGAGGAGACTACCACCACCGCTCCTACTGCGACCGCTGCCACGTCAACCGCTACATCGTCCTCATCCAGCAGCAGCTTCCTGCTCTCCAACGGCCAGAAGGCGCAGCAGCAGAACGCCCAGTTTTCCTCGCTTACCTCGAGCACGTCTTGCACTGGTGCGTCGGCCCGCTCTTCTCACCTCAGCCTGAACACTCACCTTTGTTTCTCTACAGCTGGCACGAACGCTTGTGTTAACGGAGACTTTGCGCAGTGCGTCGACGGTGCGTACGTTACCACGAGCTGCGGCTCCGGCCTGAGCTGCTTCGCGCTCCCGCTCGTCAACTCCGCGGGTACGTCCATCACCTGCGCGACCGAATCCGACGCCGCCTCGCGCATCGCAAATACCGGCGCGACGGGCGGTGTCACTGGGAGTTCGTCGTGAGCAAGGGAGAGGTTAGTTTCCTTGGTTAGTCGTAGATGTCAGAGTCCTTTGCATTACACGGTATCGCATCACGATCACATCACGTTGCATTGAATGCTTTTGTATCGATAGTCACTTCCGCTTTGTCTGGGCTGACGTAGTGCTGGCGCTATGTACTTGTAGCATCATGGAGTCAATGAGCTTATGTCATTATTCTAGCTCGCTAGTCCGAGAGAGGCCTGTTGTGCCATTATCATTGCACCCGTGCAGCGTCTGGTGGGTGCAGGTAAGCTTAATACTATGAAATCTAGAGTGAGTGTAATAGCGCGAAAGCAAGCATATCGTCACTATGTAGACAAATAGATACGTGATAGATATCTCATTCAAGGGTGTCCAGTGAAATAACGATGTTCAAGTCCCCTCGGGAAGACGCTGTCCAGAATTCGCCATCAGCGCAGCGTAGGATTGCAGGCTCGACTCTAACCCAGTAGGATGAGATCCGGGTGTGCCGGGATTGGGCATACTAAATAGTGCGCTATCGGGGGTGGGATGCGGAGTTGTATGTTGGAAGAGGGTCGAGTTGAGGAGCACATTGCGGTAAGACTGGGTCGAGAGCGAGTGCGAGGACCAGAACGCGTCGTATGTCAGACCAGCGGTGGACGTCGATGGGGTTGGTGTGGAGGATGGTGGGTAGGCTGCGCTGGGCGTATGTGCGGGTGGCGGAGCAGCAGGGGGTGGAAATGGTGCAGGATCTGAGGCGGGATCTGGTGTATGGGCAGGGTGGGATGCAAACACAGGGTGGTAGTCAGACGTTTGTAGCGATTGGGCATTCCCAACAGACGGTTGCAAGTACTGAACGCTCTGCACTACTGGGACAAACTCTGGTGGGGCTGTCAAGAATTCTAGGATGTCCAAAGCGGAGGTATTCGCTTGCACTGGGGGCAAATCCGGCGGACTTGTGCCGTCTTGCGCTGATGTGGATGAGGGATGAATTGGGGTCACGGACGGTGCTGATTCTTGAGTACGAGATGTAGGCCGTTTTCGGCTGACACTTCGCTCGCGTGGTTCTTCCGATTGGCCATCATGTGGGGGAGCAAAGGAATGTGAAAGTCCATCGCGTGAAGAGAATGATGCGAAGTTTGTATCGTTCGGAGGCATCTCTGGATTGATTTCTGCAGGATTAGTGATTATCCACAGCTAATCACAAGACTCACCGGGTAGACTTGTCACAGGGATGGCGGTTGTTTGGAAATGCGACTCGGCGCGGGAATGGCCAGGATTCTGAGCTGTACGACGTTGATGTGTGGAGCTCCCTGGCCTGGGAAGGTTTCCCGGAAAGTGTGAACTAGATGCTAGAGTTGCAGAGCTTCCACCTGTAGTCCTGCGTCCTCCCGCAGAAATCATAGGAGGCGGTCGATGCATGTGAGCATGGCGAAAATAGAGATTCTCCACTTCATTCAAATTTTGGCGTTGCTGTATGAGCCGGGCTCATCACGTTAGTGCAGCGGACTTGCGAGTAATGTATGGAAGCGCACCCATCCGTGTTCCACCTTCAATCTGGCATATTGTAGACGCAGCCGGAGCTGTCCAGAAAGCTGCGAGAGAATCCGTCAGAAAGGTCTGGCCGTGATTATTGTGAACAGTTCGGCATCAGTGTGTACGCAGTCTGCAGCTGTGCGCAACTCCGAGGACGAACCCCCGAGGGGAAGGGATTTCTTACGAACATAATTAGCTTTGGCGCGTTCCGGTGTCAGTTTTCGGCGTTGGCTGTCTATTTGGAATACAGCTGTTCGTGAAAAGGTGGGTGTATCAGCCATAGGGATGTGCCTGCGCGGTCGCCGCCCAGAGACTCGCCGAGTCGTGTACTGCAATAGCGCGTGCAAGCGTGTCCTGGTCACATGAGATGCCGAGCGTCCGATTAAGCCTCATACCTCATAGCTGTCGGCCCGCCTCAGGTCTTGTCGGCCCAATGGTCTAGTCGTATGATTCACGCTTCGGGTTAATTCCTGGTCATGTCACGTGACTCTAATGTGTGAGGTCCCGGGTTCAATTCCCGGTTGGGCCCTTTTATTTTTATAACCTGAGCCGTGGTTTTATTGATTGTGCATCATCCACTTTGTCAGGTAAGACCGTAATGTGATTCTGAAAATGTGTGCATATATGCACTTATTTATTCATAAAAGACATGCTGCTGATGTACCTGATGGCTTGCACACAATTTCAAGTACCTTCTACTCTTCATGATAAAAAAGAAGCCTATGTGGTTGCTTATTCAACTCTTTGGAGCTGGAAAGATACAGTTGTCTATCTGGTGCAGCTGTGCTGGTCTTGCTACTGGCACCAATCTAATGCTAGTGTTGAACGTCCATTTTTCCAATGTACTGCTTAATCCTAATACCTCTAGATTAGTTATCTGTCACGCAACAACTTGCCATGGCTACCTCCTAGATCCTAAATCTAACCCTAAACTCTGTACTCACTGGCTGGAGTCTCTTGTAAAGGGCTTGATGCAGTTTACTGTAGAGGATAGCTTAGATTGAAGCAAGTAAATGACTATAACTAGTCTGGCCCTAACTGGCACAGACCTACTGGCTTATATACATGTAGGGTAAGACCCCCTAATACTGTAAGATAAGACCCCTGGTACTTGGACTGGCTATGCTATTGGCTATCTAACAGTCCCTGCTGACCATCTTACTAACCAGTGGTGATGACAAATCCCTGAGCTGGAGTCTGACTAAAATATCAGGTGATGTGTGGGTCTTGACCACTAAGCAATGCTGATAGAACTGCTTAGTAAGCTGTTACCTGATTGACAACCTTGTCTTAGAACCTTCTAGCTGGTTCTGTACTATTCTGTGGATACTCTGGCTTGTACCTAATCTATATCTAATCTATATCTGATAAGATAAGATAGGCACACACTGTTACAGCGTCGGAGGGGAATTCTTTTTCTTTTCCTAACTATTCGTCATTGACCCTGTAACTGTATAACTGATATCATTGCTTAATGTGTTTCACCTACATCAGTGTTTCATATCCATCACATTTCACTTATATCATGTGTCAAGGTATCGCCCTTGACCCTACTCTAAACCCTAATCCCAGTACTCACTTGTGATACTGGTAATTGACAAGGTAAGCTTTGAGGGGCTTAGTCTTGTGAGTTGTTAGCTCAGAGAGTGAGTAGAGTGAAGTAGACGGATGTGTGATCGGTAAGATCA